TCTCTTCCTCTCTCAGAAACTGAAAATCAAACAGCTCCCCTTGCCAAATCTCCGGGGTCTATACGGGCGTTTTCAAGTAGGTTTCCCTCTGATTCTTTGCTTGTTATATTTTTTGCGGTCTGTGATTGCTATTCGAAATTATTTTCCATGGGACAGATTTCGCATCTGCCAAATCTAGGTGTTTTCGTTGTTTCTGTTCGTGGATATGGGCGATTTTGATATTCTTGGATGGTCTATTAATGGTTTGATTTTGTTGGGTGCCTGAATAATGTGAAATTTCACTAGGAAATGTGGATTTTAGGGGTTCTTCGGTTTTAAAGTTTGTGTGAATTAAATTTGTGGCTTCTGAATTTTCTGCATTCTACAGAATGTCCATCGCTCCTGAAGACTTCTCTCAATTCGACATTTCAGAACAGGTTAGTTGCATTTCTTGTTCATGTATAAGAATTTCGTTACACGCGTATTTGTGTTTGTATCTGTGTTTATATTTGTGGTGCAGGAAAAGGACAAGCTAGTTGGGGAAGTTATCCGCTACATACTATTCAAGACGGAGCAAAATTCAGGTTGCCCAATTAAAAGGGAAGAATTGACTCAGTTGATTACTGGTAAAAATTATAGACAGAGAAATCTGCCAGCTTTTGTGATCAATGAAGCGAAGACGAAACTCTCCTCGATTTTTGGGTACGAGATGAGGGAACTCCAACGGTCCCGGTTCTCCACTTCATCTCACCATAGCCGCGCATCCCAATCTCAACAATGTAAGCATTTTACAAAGTGATTCTGGAATGTGACACAATTTTGCTATTCAAATGCATTTGAATTTTACGGTTTTCCTGTCTTTTGATTAAGATTTGTTTGAATCTTGGACATGGTGAAGAACAGGAATAGAAAAGGGAAATGAGTAGAAGATGATTTTATTTTTTTTATGTTGATTTTTAAAATATAAACTGTAGGAACTTTGAATTATTTTGCTCAGTTGTTATGGGTAGTTTGTTGGAAGTTTTTGACTTTTCGTACATATGAATGTCTAAGAAGTTCATCATTTTAATGTTGCATGGATCTTGAATTTGGTTAAGAGAAGGACAGAAGAAAGAAAAATAGAAGGAATGTGAAACACTCACTTCT